TAAAACGGTTTTCAAATCCACCAAGAAGATATAACGAGTCTGAGGTCGGCTAAAGACAAGAGAGACCCACTATCAGCAACAGGAGTATATTGCATAACATGCACTTGTGGTAAGGTATACATTGGAAACATCAAAAGATTCACAGAAACAAGGCTGAAGTTACATACGGAAGAAAATGCAGATTCGGCCGAACAGACTAGTCAGCTGTGGCCAAGCACGCATCCAGTGAAGGAAACACAAAACTCCTTTCCCCCAACCAGAGATAGCCGACTGGTACGGAAGGGAATAGAGATCCACCAACACATGAATAATTTCTACAGAAAAGAAGAAGCTATGAACCCCAACCGAATATGGAATCCCAATTCAAGAATAGCAAACAACATGACGTCAGGTAGAAAAGTGTCGATAAATGACGACGATACATCTATAATAGTATCCAGCCCATATACAAATGAGCTACTCAGAAAAACGAATAACGTTATTGTCCAATTTAATAATTGGTGTAAAAAGAACCGTTCGATCATAAATTATTCCAAAACCATTGCAGTTCAATTCCAGAGATCCAAAGGAAAACTTTCCACAGAACGACTAAACATTAATAATCAGGCAATAATATTTCAAGAAAGATGCAAATTTCTAAGCACAATTGTTTATAACAATCTCAGATGGGAGGAATGCATCACTACTCGCAATAAAAATCTGATAAGTTGCCTCGATGCGGAGGGTATAATTTCTGTGTATTGGTTTACTCGACTATAAGTTATAACATTGTAGCTTATGGTTTGGCCACTGATAGTACCAGAGTCTTTTCAGCACGAAAATGGATAATCCACCTTATGTTCCATTTGGATTATCGATTCACCCATCAACTGATCGATATAGAGAATAATTTCTGAAATAATAAAATAGGACCAAAAGACTTCTACAGAGGTCTTCGTTTCCATTGTAGAGTAAGTTTTCTTCAATTTATACTATAAATCTCAAATAGCTTCATTTATATATGTGTATGTGTGTAGTATGTATGTATGTATATGTATACGGTAATTGATCTTTCGTCAACACGTATACACCTTTATCCTTTATTATTCACTATCATTATTTTCTTTCATTGTTCAACGACAAGCATATGTTTTTGCGGATTACCTCCAAATTTATTCATTTATGTTTCTTTTCACAATATGATACTATGTAAATTATGTACAAAAATATCATCAAAACCATTTACCTACCTGCTCAAATTATTATGTATCATATAATAAACTTTGTCATTTGTTCTAGTGAATGAATGTATTATTATCATTGATATCTTCAATGAGAAAAAACTTTTAACTTTCACGAGTATTTATTTATACAAACTTCTGATTCACGCCTACATTCACAAAAAGAGTCTCGTGCAAAATTAGAAATTTCACAACTACCAAACTCTCAAAAAAAAACGAATTCAGACTACAACTAGTCACATACAGCATTTACAAAAAATCCCCAAAATATGCAGGCGCGAATTTCTACAATTTATTACCCCATGAATTGAAACACCAGTCGAACCCGTTCAGATTCAAGTCTAAACTGAAATCTTTTCTGCTCCTGAATGCATTCTATGATATAAAGGAATTCAAGATGTGGTATCAGAGTCCTATTTGACGATTTCAATTTTATTGGATAGTTTTATACAAGTATTCTTATATTTTACAGACATTAATAATTTTTATAGTTTATATTAGCAATTTGCAAAATGTTACTATGGTATATTGACTTGTCAATCCAATGTTTAATTGGTGTCTAATCAATAAACTTCTGCCTATCTATTTATCTGTCTATTTATCTATTGAAAATTCACCTATTCCAGGTAACAGCACACCAAAGTATCTGTGTCAACATTAACACGCTTTACGCATCCGTAATATTCAGTCATCAAAGATTACCCTGGCCGCAAACGCCTTAACCAATTTATCTAGACAAAATCTGTTGAATATACACTGTTTCATTAGAACTTCAGCAGATTTTATAGTTCTTCATACATAATAACCATTATGATTGAATATGAATATAATATATTTTTGATTACTCTTCTACCCATACACTATATTTACTTCTTGCCCTTTTGTTTTGCTTTTCTCTTTTCAGCTCTAGTGAGCTTTGTTTTTGATGTTAGATCCTCAGGAACTTCAGTTGGTTCTTCAATAACAGGTTGTTTGACTCTTCCAGCCATCAATGCACATGTATAATTTCCAGCACCTGGATCACAGAAAATCAACTCCTCGTATTTGTCTCGCCATTTCACATACTCAATTTCGAAAAGAGTCTCCATCCCTAATTTCTGTCCCATTTTTTGCAACTTGCAGCAGTCCATGATGGCCATTATGACGGGAATTTTCAGATGCCTTGCTATGTCCAAACCTGTGTCCATTAACTGCCAACCCAACGCTTTTCTCCTGTACTCTGGATTTATACAGAGTAGGTAATACCTCAGAAAAACCTCACATTGATAATGCTCAAACACATCAACTTTTCTATTTAAAAAATTCATGAAGCCAATCACACTTTGGTATATCTTTCCTTCGCTTAACTGCACTCTGCTGAACACTCTACCAAAGTCACATTTCTTTACGGCCTTAAGGAGAAGGACCCCTGCTATTTCTTCATTACTTTCATCGATAGCAATGATTGATGATTGGTCCTTCATGGTGTGCAATAACTTTTCTCTGAAGGATTTTATGGAATCGGTATCTTCAGCGAAATTTGAATTCCTCAGTACAACATCTTCGTGGATAAAATGCTCGATTATCATGTCCAGGACTTGTTCATAATATTGGGGTTTCAAGTCCTGTATTCTGAAGCCGGATGTCAACCTGCGCCATATCAGGGGACCGAATATGCGTTCTTTTTGTAGTTTCATCTTATCAATTTCGTCTTGTAGGTCATTTGTGGCTTGTTTTGCCCTTTCTTCCTCTAGTCTGTACCGGCGACTCATGATCCTGTTCGAATTTGAAATAGTTTAGACATTCACGATGTACTGTCATTGGGTATCGTCAATGCTGACATTTGAATGACAAATCGTCATCATCATGAATATACTTCAATGCCTTAGAATGCAGCCTATTGACGTAGTGAAAAACAGTGAAGTAGAGAATGAGTTATGAAACCAATGTACAAGATGATGTAGAAATTATAAAATGTACCACAAATATTTTTTTATTCAGAGTACCACAGTATTGTTTGCCATCATGCTATCATAGAATATTTGCTCGACTCAATCAACGATTACAAGAATATAGTTCATTCGACAAAAGAACGCAGGATTGTGGTCGCCATCAAGAAGTACGAACACCACAGCTTGAGGAAGCAGTACTTAATTTGATTGAAGAACAACCTACTACCAGTACTAGAAAGATTGCTTTCCAGCTGAATGTTGATCATATGACGGTATTTCGAATTTTAAAGGAACAACTCTTATAGTGCCTGCAACGAGTACAGGCACTGTTACCGCGAGACTTTCCGAACCGTCTTGAATTTTGCAATTGGATACTGGAAATGATTAGAAGAAATTGAAGACGATAGAATTCACAAACGAATGTAGTTTTTCTCGGGACAAGATCATTAATTTTCATAATTACCACATATGGGCTGATGAAAACCCTCACGTTTTTGGCAAAACTAACCATCAAGAACAGTTTTCTCTGAACGTGTGGCTCGGAGTTATTGGGGATGATTTAAATGGGCCTCATTTTCTACCTCCTCGATTAAATGGTGAGGCATACGTTCAATTTTTAAGAGAAGTGCATCCAGTACTGCTGGAGGCAGTTCCTTTGGGCGTCAGAATGGATATGTTTTTATGCATGATTGGAAGTGGAATTGGCCGCGGTGGTAGTGCGCCTGACTCACGATCGGAAGATCGTGGGTTCGATTTCCGCCTCGATATTTTTCTCGAGAGAATTTATCTGGTTGAAGCTGGAATGATTCTGCAACCGTGTTAGGAATCAAAAGTTAAAAGGTAAGACCTCGTTAGTCCTTAGCTCGCACAAGTTCTCAACTTTTGAGAGTTGTCGTTCGTATGGGGGCGACAGCTGATTAACGGAAAAACAGATTTCAAACAGATTTTTTTTTCAAACAGATGATGGGACTTCCGCCCATTTCAGTCAAGTAGCACGTCAGCATTCAACTGAGACATATGCAAATCAGTGGATAGGTCGAGGAGGACCACAGAACTGGCCTGCTCGATCCCCGGATCTCAATCCTGAAAGTTATTCTTCTAGTAGATAACCTCTCTTTGAATATCATTTTCATCAGTCTACCAGCAACCAGCTCGTCTCAGTCGGCTCAGACTTACTATCACATTTCCCAATAACATACTTGTTGAATATTCGCATACAAATACCAACTTTATGATTCAAGTAACTAATTGCAAGTGAAACGAAGATTTTATTATTGTATGAACATAATTGATTTCTCTGGTAAATCATTGGGCTGAGGTGACAATAAATTAATGCCCTATTCGTTCGTTATATTAGAAAAGTTTTCCGGTGAGAAATATGTAATTTGTATGATTCTTGGTTTGTATGTTAACGTTTTCTCCCGTGGGTTGACCAATAATTGACTACACTGAACAATAATGAAACTCAACTTCATTTCACTTCAAATATAACAAACACTCCAACTGAAACTTTACTATTATTCGAATGTCTATCGCCTCACTGTCACTCCCACTTGACTGTGTCAATAGGCGAGTGAATGGCGCTTATATTTGGCAATCGAAGGCGCTACATGTAGAACGGCAGCAAACATCGAACATTCGCGCGCTCTCATCTACGTCACAATTGGTTTATGGCTACCAGTGGCGGCCAGCGTTATTTTATTTCGGGCATGATTTACAACGGTATCAATGAACGAGATGACTTGACAATAATTTTGTCATCCTTTTGGTTGTGTCTTCAGGCATACAAATAGGTTGACCACATTGTCAAGGAATGATTCTTGGAATCAATTGAATTGAATGCGCTTACCTGTTTATCTTTTGTACACTCGGTGCGATCATACCACCATTTGTTTTTCAGTCTTGTCAACTCTCCATCTTCCTTGAGACTCAATACAGCTAAATTCACAGCATCTCTGAAAAAAAACTTTCCGTTAATAGAAATACAAAAAATCTTAATTTTTTGGCACATGTTTGCTCATTGTTCTCAACTTATCAAGGCTCTGATGGGAATAATCCAAATTAGACAGACTTGTTTTAAATTTTGAAGACTTTTTTTGTCATTCAACTGGAAAAACTGATTTCGTCATTCGACTCACCTCAGTGGTGATCCCAGCGGTGTGGCAATTCCAAAACCTTTAGCGTCCAAATTTCTTCCAACTTTCATCGTATCACATGGTTCCCTCTCATTGATATAATCGTTTTTAGGTGATTCTATGAGAAAAGCAAACTTTCCTTTTGAAGTCCTGACCCTTTTGATCCCCTCATCATAAGTTTTCACAAAAACATGTTTTTTGGAGTTCATGTATTCCCACATTTTGGAATACAGGGTGATCTGGGATCGCTGAAAAGAAAAAGTTCTTATCAAACACTCATTTGTGTCTACGAGTATATTGGTCTATTGACATTCAAGAACTGTAAATGACTACCAATCAAATCGTCACGTCGTGAATTGAATTCTTTTAGTTGACTCATATTTTGTTTTCATGCACAGGGTGTTTCAAATTTGATCCTCACCATTGGGATTTCGGAAAGATGGTTTAGTTGGGGAAAAGTTGCGCATTCACCTGACTTACAGTATGCTGTTGAGAAAGTTCTGAAGTTCCGAAAATATCCTAAAAAAACAAAAATTTCTGAAAATGATTTTAATTTTTTCTGGCTTTATTTTTCGAAGGATTCGAAAATAAATTGCACTTTCATAAACTTTTTTCCTGCTACATAATGGTGTTTTCAGATTTGCTATCCGATGTTTCGTCTTCCGGCCACCATCATCAGCTTTATATTTTTTTACATTGAATTTTTTTTGTTTTGAATAGAACCAGATTGTGGTGTATCAAAAGTTATCATTCTTTTCGAAAAATTGAAGACATTAAAAAAATTCTTATCATAATAGGCTTTGACTGTGATGTTTCTAAATTTGACTTTCGATTTGTTACACCCACATTTTGTTATTGTACAAGTCATTGAATTTTTGGCTTTCACGAATGAAGAAAAAAGAGATATGATACCCATTATTACAAATACGATAGAAACAATGTTAGGACATCAAACATGTATTTAAACTTTTATCCCGAAAGACGACAACTACATCGAACTATGTTCAAGTTATTGGATCAAAATCTCACAAAGTTTGGTTCATTTGAGAAGCCGACGAAATACGGAGACAGAGTGGACCCGGAAACTAAAGAAAAATTGATGTATGAGATAAGTTAGACATTGTGTTCTTTTAAATGAAAATTAATAATTGACAGATGAACATGCATGAACCCGGGATAATCTACACGTCAAATTCCTTCCAAAATGAATATTTGTCATACAAGTGCTTGGAGACATCTCAAAAAAGCAGTTTGAAATGTTGCAACATAAACATATCTCAAAAAATGCATCTAGGTGACCCCAAAAACCGATTAGAATTTTGTAATAGGCTAATAAGAAGACCTGATTTTCCTGTTTAATTGAAAAATGTGATTTGAACAGATGAAAGCACTTCTCCGATTTGTGGGATATTCAACCGAAATAACGAACACATTTGGAGCATTCTGAATGAAGAAACCTATCACCAGTTTTTAATGTCGATTTTCGAAGATTATTTGGATGATCTACCTTTGGCTAACTATAACAACATCTGGTTTCATCATGATGGTGCTTTACTGCACACTACCAGGTAAGTATCTAATTACTGAAAGGTTTGGTGATAAATGTATAGGGAATAATGGGCCGTTGAGGTGGCCAGCAAGGTCTCCAGACTTAAGTGTTACGGATAAATTTCTATAGGGTACACTGGAAAATAGAGTTTATGGTCAGAGAAAATATTGAAATATTGAGGACCTTAACATAGCACTGTTAGAGACAGATTGAGGAGGAGAAGGGAAATTAATCGTGCAGTGAATAATATTCGAAGAAGGGCACAGTATTGTTATCACGAACAAGGCCAGCATTTTGAGTATTTGCTGTGATTTACTTTTGTCTTTACATCAATTATTGTTATTTGTTCAAAGTTCTATTTTCATTGGAAACGTCACAATGTCTAATTTACCCCATACACACCTCATTTGATTGTTGATTCTGTCTCCGTATTTTTTCCTCGGCTTTTCAAATGAACCAAACTCGGTGATATTTTGATCCAATAACATAGTTTGATGTGGTTGTCGTCTTTCGGGATACAAGTTTAAATACATTTCCGATGCCCTAACACTGTTTCTATCGTATTTGTAATAAATTTGTCTCATATCTCATTTTTCGACGAAAATTCAATGACTTGTACAATAACAAAATGTCATTGAGTGTAACAAATTGGAAGTCAAATTTGGAAACATCAAAGTCGAGGCCTATAACGATGAGAATAATTTTTTTTAATATCTCCGTCGGATGGCAAATCTGAAATCACCATTATGTAGCAGGGAAAGAGTGACAATGTGAAGTGCAATTTATTTTCGAATCCTCCATAAAATGAAGCCAGAAAAAATAAAAACCATTTTCCGAAATTTCTGTTTTTTCCGGATATCTCCGGATGTACTCGGAATTTCAGCACTTTCCCAACGACATATTGTTAGTCAGGTAAATGCGCAACTTTGCCCTAATTTAACCATCATCGTATCTCTCATTGTTTCCAAGATCGCAATGGTGGGGATCGAATTTGAAACGTCCTGTGCATGATTGATTCAGGTTCCTTTTTCAAATTTATAAATTTTCCATAACGTCAAAAAGAAATCATTAGACTAACTCGCAGGCCTGTTATTCAATAGTAGACTTAAGGAAAACATACTATTACTGTCTACAGTGTGTGGTGGTCCTTCAGATTAGCAACAAATGGGTTTTTATTGATTACACAATCGAAATTTGTACAACACAGAACTTTTATATATGCATATTTTTTGCATAAATAATTTCTAATGTGAATCATTGTTGTTTCTTGGGAATGAATACTGACTGCATCAACACACCTGATGAAGTTATTGGATAATGAAACACGTGTTGCGCTTTCGTGAACTGTTCAGCAAATATCTAGAAATAGGTTGTTACTTGAATTCGTTATGGATTTTCATCGAGGGTCGGTCACTTTCCTCCATTCAGTATCAAAAACATACTAAAACTGATTTACCCTGAAAAAATCCCACGTAGATCCATGATACAACGTCCCATATTCGACTTCTGTTTGGGAAGCCAGATCTTCTGGTGAATTGATAGGTGCCACCATCCTCTCCACGGTTAGGAAAGCTGCCAGATTTGCAGTGTAGCTGGAAATCAGGATGAGTGTGAAAAACCACCAGCAAGCGCCTACTATTCTTCCGGACATAGATCTGGGAGACAGCTCTCCTCCTTGTTGCATGAACGCTCCCAAAGAAAACCAAAGGGAGTTCATCATTGTGAAATCATTAGCCATTGTACCACCATGATTTGTATGCTGCACAGTTGAGTCTCTGTAACAGATATTAATAGGTATAACTCTGTGCCAGATATAAAAATAGATACCGTATGCAAAAAAAAATGAAGCCGGGAAAAATTATTGGGGATTTTGATGATTCAGAAAGGAGTATTATGTACTGTGATATATGACAATGACAATTGTAATATATTTGATGATTCGAATTGGTTATTTGATCAAATGTAAATCATCCTAAGAAATGATTCGTTCAGGCCAGTCTCAACTCCCTACACTGTTGGTTAATGAACTGACACCTATCAGAAAACAACTACTTCCCTGGCTAATACCATTAATGGCGTTAGATTACATCCAACAGGTGTCAGTGTAGGATTCTTCACTGAAGTTATTCCTGCATATGCTGTTGGCGATACAACTGCCGCAATAGATTTTCAATTATTGAAACACACTTGCAGACCGGTTTCGGACTGTTTGGCCACTCGTCAGTGCAAGGTAGTGCATCAACATGAACGAGGTAATCAAGGAAGTTGAGACTGTCCTGAACGAATTGTTCCTTCAGATGATTTGATTCATAGCCAGTCTTGAAATATACCCACTGAATATGTGGAAAGTTTTTTTTCTTATACGAGGAATCGGGCAAATTTCGGATATGCGACTGAATGATAACTCATAGACCAATTTCAGTTTCACCAGTTTTATTCAAAATTTTTGAAATATCTCGTGAAATAGTGTCCGTAGTCCACAGTATTAAATGGCATAACTCAATTCCAGCTACGTTTACATTGGAACAAAAATGTGGAGTTTTTCATTAAACCTAAAGAAAGCAATAAATACTGCGTTTCTCAAAATTTTCCAGGAAATAACAATAATAATAATGAAATACAATATGGTTCTATGCATCTGATTAGTTCAGGAAATATATAATATATTAGGTGCCGAAGGGATCCATTCTGGGACCTGTTCTGTTTCTTGTATATTCGAATTCTCTGGTTGCGGTAATTTTTCTGGGTTTGCTGATGACATCATTTCAATTCACAAGAAAATAAGAAACAATTTTCATTATGGAAGACTGAAAGTCATTATGGATTCAATGCCATGAAATGGCCCTGAATTTTAAGGAATCTTCGTTTATACCAGAAAGGTCTGTATCAATTGAATCAGAAAATTCAATGGAACTGCATAATGGAAATTTAAATGATGAGGAATTTCTTGGTCTCGTCCTCAAAAAAATTTCTCGTAGACACCATATATTGAAACAATAAGAAAAAAAATTGGTTCCAATATCAGTAGGGGTAATGTGACCAAATTAATTTTCAACAATATGAAAACTTCAAAATGAAATCATGAACTGTATTGCAGAACACGAAATAAAAAATCCTAAATTTCCTAGGATTGTACATTGATCAAACTTTGATATGAATAACACACATTCAAAATCATAAAAAATTCTTTTTAAGATTATTGGCGTTATGAATAGAATGGAGGCATTTTTGTTGCTGAAAAATCTGAAAATCGTTCATTTCAGTAGTCTGATTCATTCGAAATTACAACGTTCTAATATATGTTTGCGGTATTCTAACAAAGTAACACAATCTTTTTTAAAATAATCAGGAAACATAACAAATAAAAGTATAAATAGGGCTCGAGAGCCAACAAATGAACTATATATTATAAACCTGTGAACCTATCAAATACATATTCTCGGTTCAAAACAGAAATGAGTATTCTCATCCATTCAACCAAGAATAAAAATAAATATATAAATACATCGTATATTTCCTATTTTGATAGCCATGATCAGACAATTGAATCACTGGAAAACTATACAAATGAAAAGCAATTCATGACGATCTGTCCAATTTCATCAACAATATCAATCTCATCAGAGAATTCAAGATTGAAGAATATCGTATATCTGTTGATGAATTTTAAGTGAGTTATTTATTTGAACTTTCTGAAATTATCACCTGATAAGCCATAACGTTTTAGTTTTCGCCATACTGAAGAGGTATATGTTACTTTTTTATTCCCTGTATGAACGTATGTTTCTGAAGATGTTTAAACAATTGAAAATAATTTTCAACGTTGTGTATCTCACCAACAGAAAGAATGCCTGATTTCTGTTCTTCTCCATCTATAGGAAAAATAATTGTAACAAATCACCTCTTTCTCTGAGTTGTTGATTTAATTATCAATTGGTCTGAAGATTTTCACATACACAGCAGGATAACAAGTAGAAATCCAAAGTGAATGAAAGATGTTTGTGAAATTGAAAAAGTTTGTGAAAACGAAAATGGCAATGCAGTGCAGAGTTTTTCAAAGCCCACAACAGTAGCCCAGTAGTTATGATTCCAAAAATTACACAAATGCATTTGTTGAATCATGTCTGTTTTCATTCAGTTCAAAACAATGATCGCATTAGAGAAGGAAAGAAAGAGAAAAAGAACAATTGCGGTTCCATTAGAATTTGTTCACATACCTGTGATCTCCAGTATAGTGAATCAGTCTCCACTCATATGGTGAGAATCTGGATACGACGAAAAGGACGATACTAACACCAACGTAAGCAAAAAGAACGCTAACCCAGATCTCTTTTGAAAGAGGATTGAGAAAACTGAATACTCCTGGCTTCTGCTTCATGGGTTTTTTTATCATGATCGAAATCCCAAGCGACATAAACGGCTTGCTGAAGTCGATAACTCTTTCTCTTTCCGACGTGATGGTCATAGGAGCGATGGCCATATCAGCTTCCTGAAAGTGAATGGAATGATCATTATTAGTTAGATAATAAACTTGAGTATGTTCGAATAGGAGAATGAGTGGTGAAATTGGTGAGAAACTGACTGAAAAATCGTAGTCAGCAAACAATCATAGACGAAACGTTAACCGAATTGTATCATATGGAGTCCCTCAGGGTAGTATCTGAGGTCCACTTCTATTTACAATATGAACAGTTGATTTTTCGAAATTTCTTGAGTTCTGTTAAATACATCAATATGCTAATGATTCAAAAATTGATAAACCGTTTTATCCTCTTCTTGTGACGTAATAAATTCCGATCTTGATTTTTTTCCAAACTTTCTGAAGCTCATGTCTTCTGAATGACTTAAACCGAAACTGAAATGCCCGTAACTTAATATGAAAACAGTGAAAGTAACGAAGTTCAATTCAATGCCATGAAAACCCAGGCATCGGTTTTCTCCGAAAAGATAAATGTCTCCGAACCGAGTATAATGATGTCAGAACAGGCAATGCCGCTCTCCGCTTTGATAAGTTTGTTGGGGGTTGGAATAGACACCAATATGATTTGGCACAATCATGTCGCTGGAATTGCATAGCCCACCCCCAAAACATACTCTGAAGCTGCTGGATTCCATCCAGAAAAGAGCCATCCACCTGAATGGAGACGCGAACATCAGTCCCAACCTTCATAGTCTGGAAGAAAGGTTGGAGATTTGTTTCTCTTTTACAGATACTTTCACGGAAAGTTTTCAAGTGACTTGGCACATTTGATTCCACCAAGAGCGGTACATATCAGAAATACGCGACGGACTGTGGCTGCTCATCGTTTTGAGGTTCAACTCAGTACACCTCGAACTTCACTCCTCAAAACTCTTTCATTTGGAGAACTGCGTGTATGTGGAATCAACTTCCTGAGAACGTTTTCCCAAATGAATTCAATTTCCAACGATTCACGTTCAAATCCAACGTGAATCGCTGCTTTCGCACAGGCACTGCTCTCAGAGCATCTTGAGGATTTCTCTGTAGTGCTTGTGTTCTGTCCTTGAAAAAAACTTATTTCATGTAAAGTATTGCCTTTTGAATTTCGAGTAATGATAAATCAGTCTCTGCTCCATATAATGCTTCTAATGTATGAAGAAATATTCAATTATCAATTGAAACACAAACTCTGTGATTCTCCCACTTCATTAAGTCATACAGTGAATTCTTCAATGAATCCAAATTGTTGAAACCTGAATCCAGATTTGGAATCTATATATCAAGCTTAATAAATAAAATCTATGAATATTATTTACCTATTCAACATATTCCAATTCAGAGAGTTGTACACTGTTTTCCCATATACCATTGGCATGAGTAAGAAATGTTTTTTTTTTTATATGTTGCAGTGATCACATTTGATGCCCTGCCAGAAATTGATAAATGTTCCGCTTCTTTTCAAACCTCTAGGATGAAAAATACCTATTTGATCCGAATACGGTTGAGGTGAAATAGTTTCTTGAATTATAAGCTCACCTATTAACAAACATTAACATTTAATTCACATGATCATTGATATGATTTTCATAATCATCATTTTTTTCAATTATTTATTATTAGAAAAGAATGTAGGTGAATTAGTATGATTTTATTGATGGTTCATTATACCATTACTTATGCACTATTGCCTTCACAGAAGTTCCATTTGAAATAAAGTCTATTACAAGTGATAACAGATTTGGAAAAAAACTGAAATTATGCCTAACCAATAACAATAAGTGAGATACATAAAATATTGGAACGAAACAAATGAAGTATTGATTCAGAAAGAAAAAGCACATGTTCTCACAAGTGAGAATATAAATATTTACAAGTATAAATGGAAATAATTTCACAATTCATGATCTACACCAGCTTTTCACGAATATTTGAAGTTTTATTCATATGTTTCAATTCACATCTGTCTATATTCTGTACTGTTGCAATCTTTATTAACGAAGACTTACCTTATAGAATAGACAGCAACTCTACAAATGTGCAGTCATCAAGGACCATATTAAGAACAGAACATTGAATGAAAAATATAAAACAAATGGTGTATGATTGATAACTGTTATGGCCGATCGTTTGGTTTGTAATGTTGTTTGTTCACTGGTTCATGTTCATGATAGTTTTATTTATTTTTCCATTTCAACTGACATCACACACAAAACGCCTTAACTTAGTTTATTGTTTCAGTGTTTTTGTCATACACAAGCTCTATGAGCTTCAGTGTATGACAAAAACAATTCAATTAGTATTCAATCTAATGAAATAAACATTATTGTTGTTATAATTATACATATACCACCTTGCTTTTTCAATAATGTAACACGTATATGTATTCTAATAAAGAAGAAGATACATCATCATCATTATAATTAGCATCATTATTATTCTTTCTAGACCCACCATATTCTGATCAGTTGACCGATTAGTATTCTATCAAATACAAATACCAATACGAACCTTGAAAATATCACTGAGCCTATCAAACACGAAAAAATGTGAAGTTAACTAAACATTCATCCAATACATCACTCAAATCGATGAAAAATATTTGAAAGACTTTTGCTTTCACAGTATGCTTTCACAGGACGACCACAAATCCTCTACTGAGAACATATATTGCTCACGTTGTAGTATTTAAAAAAAAACTTGAGTGTTTTTAAGTCGAACTTCACATTGACGTATATGTATAAACGATACATCGTTCCCCAAAAGAAACTGGTAATTCTGATTTTCAATTCAGTTTATGTTGCCAGATTTATAAACTTTATGCCTATTCTACTGTCTAAAAAGTATTCATTTACAATTATATCATTCTTTGATAGCCATTTTTGTGGAAGACCTAATACTTCTACAATCTGAAAAATGAAAAAAGCCAAATCAATAGAAAATCTGTTGAAGTGTAATAAGGGGCACACTGACAAGATCATCCCAAAAAGTTACTGCGTGATATAAACACCTGAAGAGTTAACTTAGTAACTTGTGCAGTACAAATTGAAAAAAATTATTGAAAACAATCGAAATTGTAAATAACTTCGACTTTGACAGAAGTCAAAAGAATTGATGATCCAGATGTTATATAATAATAATGAAAATAATAATAATGATACTGATAATGTTCATTTTAGAAAAAGAAATATAGTTTTTTTGTGAACACAAAATCTATCAACTGAAACCACAAATGTACGGCTGGCTCCTGCTGGTTGCTCCGTGCATTTGTATTTGTTTCTTTTGATAACCTAGTGTTGCCCATCCTTACAGTTGGCAGCACCAAATTGATGATGAACCAAAAGTCCAAAACACGAATCTATGGTTTGCCACTTTCTTGAGTGCTATGTCCGATTATTGACTTCCGTATCTGTATCAAGACACTAAGTAACCTTCATATTTCTATTATTTCTTGGGTCTGGATGTCACGAAGGTAGCTATAGTTGTCTCCATGGTTATTTCGATTGTTTTCTTGTAAACTCAAGATCTATTAACTGAAACCACAAATGTGCGACTGGCTCCTGCTGGTGGCTCCATGCATTTGTATTTCTTTCTTTTAGTAACCAAGTGTTTCCCAACTTTACACTTGGCTGCACCATACTGATGATGGTCCAAAATCCCGAAACACGTTTCTATGGTTTGCCACTTTCTTGAGCCTGGTCATCACATAAACATGCATGTGAAACAATAAATTGAGCCAAGAAAGTTTCTACGTGGTAACAGTTGAAATGGAAAATTAAATGAAAAATATCATGAACCAGTGAACAAACATCAATCTGAAATATCGGTCATGAAAAAAACTATCTTTCACCCACCATATACATAGATGAATTGAGTCATATGTTTTATATTCAATTCAGTGGTCTATTATTTATATTATGGTCATTGGTCATTGATGACTGCACATTTGCGGAATTGCTGTCTATTCCTTTGCTGATTGATTTGACCGTTACTTAATGAAGATCCATAGTAAATCCATCAAATTTGTTGAGGTCAACTCGTGAGATGTAGTTCATTGAGTGGGTATGATATAAATCAAAAAGGGAAAATTTGTGGACAGAACACTCAACAAATGGAGGCAAACCGCGGACACGTGTTTCTGGATAATGGCCTCATCAGCGCGGTGCAGCCAATTGCAAAGATGGACAATAACTGGTTACCAAAAATGAAAAACTTCATATATGTACGGTGTCACCAACAGGCGCTAACCGCAAATTTGTGGTTTCAATTAGAAGACCTTGCATTCCTGGACCCAGAAATCACGCAGGTAGCTATAGCTGCCTACGTGGTGATGTTAGATGATGCCTGGGAATGCTGGGTCTTCTAATTGAAACCACAAATATGCGGTTAGCTCCTGTTGGTGACACCGTGCATATGTGAAGTTTTTCATTTTTGGTAACCAGTTGTTGTAAATCTTTGCAATTGGCTGCACCGCGTTGATGAGGCCAATAGCCAGAAACACGTGTCCGCGGCTTGCCTCCATTTTTTGAGAGTTCTGTCCACAAATTTTCCCTTTTTGATATATATCAGCAGTCAAGCTGGTGGAAAATAATTCCATGAAAATCAAAAAAAGAATAGACAAGTACTCTTTGATCATTCCCATATTGATTTCAATAATATATACGTGTTTCCGGCTATTGGCCTCATCAGAAACACGTGTCCGCGGTTTGCCCCACAACGACTTTTTTCTGCTTTCAAACCTCGAAATAATGCTCGCTGAAAAGAAATTCAGCTCTAATGAAGAGGTTATCGTCGAAACTGAGGTCTATTTTGAGGCTCAAGACAAATCGTACTATGAAAATGATATCCAAAAATTTTATGACCGCTATAATCGTTGTAACTCCCTCGAAGAACAATTATATTGGGCAAGAAATTTGGACAAGAAATTTTATCGAAACAAATGTTTTTTCTATGTTAGCCTAAGAACTCTTTAACCCAACTATTACGCAGCTCAAACTGTTTATTTTCATTATTTTATCATCAGAAAAATTTTTAATTACATTTATAGACAATTATTGTTTCATGAGTTGAGAGTTATATCCGTCCACTCACAGAGTTTTCAACAGCTAAAAAGTAGAAATGAAATTCAAATATTCATGAACAATTTATTAATATCGATGTTATTATGACTGAAACTGAGAATTGCCAATCCCTGTGAAATGATTGATGAGTAGAGATCTCGATATCAACCCAAAAAACAATCGTGTGTGAACAGGTCAACTCTGTGAAATGAATGAGCAGAATGGGGACTTTATTTGCCCATTTATGTTCATCACGCAACTGATAAATTATAGATCAACTTGAAAACGGTGATTAAATTTGATTACCAACATTCATATATTTCGTCACATTTTGATAGCCTTCGACTGATAAATTAAGAACATGCACTTCATGTCAATTAAGATAAATTTACGTTGTGGCAATTGAATTTTATCAACTTGGACATAGTTGTGATAATTTTTTAGATTTTGGATTACAAATCTTGCCCAAGTGATAGTATTGTTCCTCTTAGCAATTATTTTAAAAAAATCAGACCTGACATATTTATCCGAGCTTCATTTTCATAAGAAATATCTTCAGAAACCAAAACTATTGGCATGATATGTTTCTAAAGGAAATACTTCTTTCCATACACCGTCTGTCGACGACGTTTCGATAACTAACTGAGCATCACTAGGATATAATGAAGAGTGAATTTTCGTATCTGAAATAGGTCGATTTATATAGATACATCATCACCACAAGAAATTTATCAAATTAGGGGCAAATCATTTAGAGAAACAATTCTTTCAGTCCAGTCTCAACTCCCTACATTGTAGGTGAATGGACTGACACCTATTAGAAAACAACTATTTTCCTGGCTCCCTGGCTAATACCATGAAGTGCGTTGGATTATATCCGACAGGTGTCAGTGCAAGATTCTTCACTAAAGTTATTTTTGCATATGTTGTTGACGATACAACTGTCGCAATAGATTTTCGATTATTGGAACATACTTGCAGATCGGTTTTGGATTGTTTGGCCACTCGTCAGTGCAAAGTAGTGTCTGTCATTAACATAAAGTCGATGATTTCCGATAATTGAAAATATAATTCTTCCAGAGTATCATTTCCCGAACTAGGCTGAGACGGAGAATAAATAACAGGTTTGTCATTGAACCATCTGCCTGTGAACGAGGTAACCAACTGAAATTTGCCACATTTCTCGTATGAGGAAAGAAAACTTTTCACATATAGTCGGTGGGCAGTGGGCGGATTGTACCTTTAGATGATGTGATTCATAGCCAGGTTCAATGATCCCAAATCCAAATTTATAGGCGTACAATACAGACTACCTGCTATGTGCCCAATAATTTCCTGTTTTCTATTTCTAATTATCATACAACAGGGTGGATAACGGGCTTTATCGCAGTTCATGAATCCCATTTCACTTCTCTGATTCCTAAATTTTCATAAACTCATCTCAATAATTTTAAACAATTTTTCCCCACTGAATAGTCGTTCTCAAAGAGATGTCGAGCGGCATCAAACTCATCTGGTCTACGAAACAAAATATCTTGAATTCTCGAATTCTTTCGTCACACTGACTTTCGTGTTGTTCAACATTTGATATGTACGAGCAGTTCAGGAGGAAATTGCTTCCATTTCAAGAACTGTTTCACGAGCAGAGTTTAGATTGTTGTCATTTCCAAAGTTTTCGAAAATATTTCATGGCATTCACCTAATTTCTTGGACAGTCAGGTCTACTCCATCAACATGATAGATCCAAGTCTATAGAAAGTAACTGAACTACTTTCTTGTTTCCAGTTCAAAACAGCTCAATTCCCAAACAATTGGTGAACAATTTGGTAACTGTTTCTATAATCATAGTGACTACAGTTCTGACACATGTGAAATATATATTGGATTCAATTTTCGTCTTAGATTTTATTTCTACTTATCATTGATTATGATGATTTTAGTGTTCATTGGAGATTGAGTTCAAAATAGGTTCTTACAGAAATCAAGAAACTGCTTGACATTGGTTTTTAGAATACGTGAATTTTGTGGCTTTTACTGAGACTACCACAATCTGAAAAACGAAATTGGCCAGCGAAACAGTGAAACATGTGTCTCTTTTCTCCAAGTTATGATATATGACAAATTATTCATCAATAGTGCATTTCTTCAGTGAAAAATGAATTGAACTTTCGTAGAAATTCATTGGGGTGTCTTTTGTATGAGGTTCTCCATTACATTTTTTATTTTTTTATTTTCCCATATCGTGAAAGATTATAATTTCCAGAAAAATCTATAGAAACATTCTGATTTCCTTCATAGAAAATAACTTTTTTTTTAATATTACCTGTCTTACTAGTTCTCCAACCATTCCGTCCCAACCACCTTTAACGTCATGATTTTCTGATCCATAATGACCATCTTTTACTATCCGCAATTCATCTACAACAGAAATTATTTCCAATTATTCAGTCTGAATCATGAATATACTTTATGTCAAGTTAATCAGTTGTCCGTTATCGAACCCACTCGTAACATGGTCCAAGGAACGAAAATAGTAAAATAGTATATGAGTAGATTTCATTACTTTCACTTAAGCCATTTCATCAAACCCCCCATCAACTATGGAAAGTCACCACGATTTCGATATGGACTACGACATATAACTCAAGGAAAATAAAGAGAAAAAAGTAAGTCTGCTAGAATCTCTGGAAGTCAAGAAACGCAAATAATAATTATTTTTTCCAAAATCTACCTGTTTTGACAGAATCAATTATTTATCTTATAAAGTTTTGTAGCTACCCAGCATTATGTAGAAGATTCTGTGGAATACCTATCAATTCCACTGATGAAACCACTGTGTAGTGAAACGCGTCTTGAATGAAACTCATAGTGTGAAAATTGTACCATTATTATCATGGATGGGGTGTCAACAGGGCCGTCGCCATGGAGGGGATGGGGGGGAGCCTCCCCTGCTTTTTCGACTCGGGAAAAAGTTGGTAAATTTTGGGCAGTGAAGATAGAAAAAAATAATAGTAAAAAATGAATGAAAATTGAAAAAATGAAAATGAGAGAAAAGAAAGGGAGAGGAAGTAAGAAAAGGGAAAAAAAACCAGGAGGAATTCTGAGTTGTTTGAAAACTTCAAAAAAGTTTAATTTCTCCCAAGGAAGAGAACAGTCCTGAACAATCCATAAATTTTAAAGTGACAATTTTACAAAATTTCCAGCTTTTCGCTGTTTTTTCGACTTGGAAAAGTTGAGAAATTTCCGGCAGTGAAGATAGAAACAAAAATAGTAGAAAACAATAAGCATAATATCATTTGAGTGTTGCTTCCTTTCATTTGTATTGGATATTCCTATACATGGTGGAAATAGTGGAAGATCAAGGACCTTGGTCCAAATTAGAATAACAACCCTTATTATTTTTATAATAACCAAAATTTATTTTTGTTTGTGCATACCCAAACGGGCATAAGCATTCAGCCAATATTTGAATAGCTAAGTAAGGAAATTAATATATTATAGTAGTAACTGATCCCTCGGCTTTCATTTTTTCGAAAGTTGGGAAATTTTGCTGGTGGGCTTGGGAAAATTTGGATTCTCTCCCCTCCCTGGTTTTTCTTTTCGCTACGGCCCTGGGTGTCAAAACTATTCTTCTGGTTGTTTGACTGTGGTCTGCAGGATTTCACGCCAGACGTTTCGTCTATTACTGCGGTAGACATTATCAAAAGCGATAAGTGAGGTAACGGTTGAAGTGGTCGAGTTGTTCAAGTTGTTGTTCCCATTATTCCTAACCCAGGAACTATAATACTGGTTTGACTTCGGTTTTGTATCATTTTTATTGGAGGAGACAACTTGGATTCTCTCAATTGAATCATCTGACATTGTTTGTGTTCAATTAAGGACAGGTAGCCAGGTTTTATCAATGTTCATCGCCTCTTTTTTTCTATTGAAATCATCCCTGTGTTTTTGAATTTTCATTGCCTTTATACAGGATGTTTCAAATTCGATCCTCACCATTGGGATCTCGGAAACCATGAGAGATTCGAAGATGGTTGAACTCGGGCAAAGTTGCGCAAGTACCCGACCAACCATATGCCGTTGAGAAGGTTCTGAAATTCGGAGTATTTCCGGAGATATGGTTTCTATTTCTTTCTGACATTATTTTTCGAAGGATTCAAAAAATTCTTTTCAGATTTGTCACGTTTCGTCTTCCAGCCACCATCATCAACTCCATTTTTTCTTATGGGCACTATATTGGATTCTTTCTGTTTTGAATAGAACCAGATTTTACCTTCTCAATAATGTATCATAAGTTATAATTTTTTGTTGAAAAATTGGAGATATTGGAAACATTGTATTCTTATCATAATAGGCTTTGACTTTGGTGCTTCTAAATTTGACTTCCAATTTATTATAGTCAATGACATTTTGTAATTGTATTTTTGGCGACAAACGGCTGTCACGAATGAAGAAAAAAGAGATGATACAAATTTATTACAAATATGATAGAAACAGTGTTAGGACATCCGAAATGTATTCAAATCTTTTATCCCGAAAGACGACAACGACATCGAACTATGTTCAAGTTATTGGATCAAAATCTGACCGATGTTCATTTGAAAAGCCGAGAAAAAAATACGAGGAAAGAATCAACAATCAAAATTTGATAAATGAGGTGTGTATGAGGTAAATTAAATATTGTGTCCTTTTCAATAAAAATAGAACTTTGAACAAATAACAATAATTAACTATAATGTAAAGACAAAAGTAAATCACAGTAAATGCTCAAAATGCTGGCCTTGTTTTTGATAACACAACTGTGCCCTTCTTCGAATATTATTCACTGCACGATTAATTTTCCTCCTCCTCAATCTTCCGAACTCTCTAACAATGCTGTGTTGAAGGTCCTCAATATTTTGATATTCCTTCTGACCATAAACTTTCAGTAAGCTAATTTGATACTTGTCTGGTACAACACTTGAAACACTTGAAACACTTAATGATATTGGTCTGATGAAAAAACGCATATAAAAATGGATTCTTGAACAAACTAGACAATTTGTCAAAAACATTGTAGACACAGCAAATTGATTAATTTCTTATTTTTTTAGTTTCTTTTATGCTTGATAAGTTTTGATTTCCTCTTATAAGCTATTTAGAGAATTTAAAAATTAATTATTCACGAAATAACAGGCTGTAAACTGATAAACTGATGAGTTGGAAAAATCATGATTTTCATGAGACGAAACAAAGAAAAACATGTTGTTTCCACAGACAGGTTCCATGTGAAGCTAAGTGGCAATCGTTTTTATTTGTTGACTATGTATAAATGTACTTAGGATACCTTTATGCTTTTCAATAATCGATGTAATAATTCGAAAAATATTTGGCAGATAAATTTTATTATTATTTTTTTTTCACCGTAGTGTGCGCTGGTCAGGCCCTATCCCCCGAAGCCCTGATACATTCGGGAGGGCGCGCCAGCATTATCAACCAATGACCTCTCCCCACACCGTGGGGTAAGGGATCATTGCCCTGAGCAAGCGCAGTGAGCCAAGAATGACAGCCTTCTACATTCGTGCGGCTAAGATTTCTGTCTTAGTGCGGCAAGCCGGCATGATTTTAAGATTCGAGAGTAGAGAGGGCATCATTCCACCAAGGACTCCAATAATCAGAACAACCATCTTGACACAGTGATCTGTATAGAGTCTGCGGAGTTCGAATAGAAAATCTCGATATTTTATTCGTTTTTATTCCTCTTTTCTGACGATATTTGTCTCGCCAGGAGCTGAAAACTCCACTACAAATATCGTTTTGCTCTGGTGATCAAGAAGGACTACATCAGGCTTATTAGCTTGTATGAGCCTGAGAGTGGGAACGAATAGTTCTAAAAAATTCGGCACATCCCGTTCCCCACAACGGACTCAATATCCCCTGGAGCGTAGGGCAACACTGGTTGCTCATAAATACCGTAAGAGTGCCGTAGATGGTAATATAGCCCTCTCAGAGCCGCGTTATGTCGATGGATATAGGCCGAGATTGTATATGCTGGACGTGCTGTTAGCAAGTGCATTAAGTTCTAGGGCGCCTCGCGGCAGGCCCTGCACCTTGTGTTATTATTATTATTATTATAATTATTATACTCGGAGTTTCAGAACTTTCCCAACGGCATATTGTTAATGAGGTAAATGCGCAACTTCGCCCCAATTCAACCATCTTCATATCTCTTCTCATATAATGAGGCATATAGCTGAGGATGCCGTGATTTCAGAGGTTCGCAACTAACTTCAGGAAAATTCGGTTTGAGTAGGGATTCCATACTTTCCTTGGTGGTATCGGGAGCCGCTCTATAGATATGGAGATCTACAAATTCAGGCACTCCTTTTACTGCTTCAGCATTTCCAGAATTGGCATTATTGTTACCAACAATCACTTTGGCAGGTTTTCGTTAACGGGGAGTGATGGTTTTTCATGTATTGTCCCTAGATGTAGTCGATTCAATCGAAGTGGACGTTGTTTGTCGTGAATTATCCGCCAGATGGATAATATCATTCAATTTATTTCTCGCAGTCACTTCCAGTAATGTCCTTGACACGTCATTTTCTTTAATCCGTTGGGAGTTTCCTATGGAATTCCCTTTTTTTTTAAATGTGGAGATAATATCAGCTGAATCAGTTTTTATTCCTCTTTCTTCTGTTTGTAAATAGTTGATATCAGACAAAGTTTTTGTGGTGGAGCTGGCATTACTTTTTTGGCCTGCCAGATGTCCCACAATTACTTCGTTCATATTTTTTGGGCTACTACAATCGATTTGTTTTTATCTTTTGATAAATTGCAATTTTCATGTACAATGGAGTTCCTACTTTCCAGTTCTTCGATAATACGATTGAGAAGATCATTTTCTCTTTCAAGACTATACTCCTTACTTGATTTACAGGTTTGGTTCTCGTTGTCAGTAGTTGTTGTATGCTGGCAAATTACATTTTTTCCTTGAGAAGACTGTTTAAAACAACTTGGGTGGAAACTTCATTCCACTTAATACACATAACTTTATTGGTGACACTTTTTTTGCAGTATTTGCAGGAAGATAATATAAAATTGGAGACACATTCTAGCAATAAAGTTTCTACGTTGAGAATACGTAGAGTACTTCAACCGTTACCTTATGGCCTTCGATAATGCCCACCACAGTGATTGGCCGAAACGTCAGCAGTGTATTCATATATATTTTGATTTTCACATTTCAAATGATTTTGGACATTTTTTTGGATTCTTCTGTATCTTACTCTTAGGGTGAATTTGATCTTTTCTAAAATCATACTCACAGTTGATTCCGAGTTTTTTGGCTATGAGATTTGCAAGATCTTTGCAGTAACCCTCGAAGCGATTATTTCCAGACAGAATTTCTCCAGACTCGGGAATTCGCATCATAATGTAAGGTTCTTCCTAAAAAAATAACAGTATCCAACAAATCATATTCTTTGAGAGAGATAATTCTGAAATATATCTCAAAAGATGTCTGGTTGCTATGTGAATGTGTTGTTGAATGTGAATAGCGAATACTCACCACTATAGTTGTGACAATGTAAGTTTTGTTTTTCTCAATATGTGCATTTGCTTTCAATCTCGTATATTTAGCTGCGATTGGATTGAATCCAGTTACATCGCTCCATTCTGCAACTTTCACCATAGCGCTGTTGACTGTCATTTCCACAACATGCAGTGTGTAATTTTCCCTACGTCCCTCCTCACTGAAGCGGATTTCGCCTGTTAATCCTTCAAGCTCCACCTGAAATTCAGATAAACATTAGTAGCATATTGTATAAATCTTCAAATAACACCTAGCCTCGAAAATGTAATCAATATTCGCGATGAATCAATGATACCTGGTGGTTCAAAATCCTACATTTACTCAACTCAAATTGTAAAGCGTCGAAACAATCGAAACTGCTATTTCTTTAAATGAATCCAACGCCCTCACAAATGGATTTCAGACCATGAATGTATGACAAATTTTGCTTCTGGCAGCTTTTATATTTCTGTATATTCCTTGTATATGAATGTGAAATAGCATATCAATATAGAAAAGGTCTACGTCGATTGATTAAAGAAATACAGTTAAATTCCATAATGAAAATATCAAATACTTTCCTAGTGCTAAATTTCTTGGCCTTATTCTAGAGGAAAAATTATTATGAAGACAACATATTGGAATAATGAAAATTAGAATAGCTTACATGGCTGGACATTTATTCAAAATAAGAAATGTTATACACCGATACAGAAAGTTGCGTGGTCAATATAAACACAGATTTGCTCAAAACATTCCTCTACTCGGAGACTCGTGGACTGAAATAATGGATCCAAATGGAACTTTGGCCTTATGCATAGGGTCTCAAAGAAACTTTAGGTTAGGCTCATTTTCGATAACGCAGACATTGACTGGGTAGACAGTGCTAAAAATTTCGACGTAACCATAGATGCCCTTTGTCTTTCCATGAACATGAGACAAACATTTTCAAAGTATTATTCTTCAAACTCAAATCGCTATACAAATTCAAGTATCAGTTATCAGAAGAATTGAAACTCATATTAGTTGAAACTCTTATTTACCCCCATATCGATTATTGTTGTTCGGTGTATTACAATTTTTTGCCGCAATATACCAAGCAGAAGTTACAACGTATGCGATTTGTATACTGTATACCATATGGTGAACATGTCACCCCATTTTTGTTAAAAATGAAGGAGCTGAATGTGAGGTACAGAGTCCAATATTTGATAAAAATATTGCTTCAAAATGAAACACCTAGTTATTTATATAGTTTATTAAGCAGGCATTCTGACATACATATGGTCAAGTTGAGAATTAACTCATTCAATATACCTAGGCACCGTACTTCGAAATTTCAAGGATGTTCTTCTTATATAGCCCCTTCTTATCTGAATGAAATTTTACACTATTTTAGTCATAATACCATAATATTCATCAAAAAGAAATAAAATCACAGATGCTTACTGCTCAGTGCTAATTTAAAAAAATTGAAATTTAATGTATGGTAGTGAATGAAATTGTTAAATTGATCAAAAAAATGTTGAGAATATTAAGAGTTATCAGCAATTGTATGATCTATTATTTTTTCTCTTCTCTATCATTGTTATGATAGTAAATAAGTATTTTTATAACTATTTTCTTACACTCACTGTATAATTTTTTGGAGGGGTGGAAGATAGCCTCTGGCTAACCCTTTTCTTTTCATGTATAAATATATTTTTTATGCATAATAAACGATATTATTATTATTTTTATTATTTTTTTTCACCGTAGTGTGCGTTGGTCAGGACCTATGCCCCGAAGCCCCGATACATTCGGAAGGGCGCGCCAGCATCATCAACCAATGACCACTCCCCACACCGTGGGGTAAGTGATCATTGGGTCCGAGAGTCATGTGCCCTGAGCAAGCGCAGTGAGCCAAGAATGGCAGCCTTCTGCATCTGTGCGGCTAAGATTTCTGCCTTAGTGCGGCAAGCCGGTATGATTTTAAGATTCGAGAGTAGAGAGGGCATCATTCCACCAAGGACTCCAATAATCAGAACAACCATCTTGACACAGTGATCTGGATAGAGTCTGCGGAGTTCAAAGAGAAAATCTCGATATTTTATCCGTTTTTAGTCCTTTTTTCTGATGATATTTGTCTCGCCAGGAGCTGAAAACTCCACGACAAATATCGTTTTGTTCTGGTGGTCGAGAAGGACTACATCAGGCTTATTAGCTTGTATAAGTTTGAGAGTGGAAAACGAATAGTTCCAATAAATTCCATTCCCCACAACGGATACAATATCCCCCGGAGCGTAGGGCAACACTGGTGTCTCGTCAATACCGTAAGAGTGCCGTAGATGGTAATATAGCACTCTTAGAGCCGCGTTATGTCGATGGATATAGACCGAGACCGCATATACTGGACACGCTGATAGCAAGTGCATTAGGGTCTCGGGCGCCTCGCGGCAGGCCAGGCCCTGCACCTTGTGTCAGGAACCTCTATACCCATCATGCGACTGCAGTAGACTAAGGTGTTGGATACACCATCCTGACAAGCCATGATGAACCCCTCAATTTACCAACTTCACGTCTGTTCGCAGGAAGATCTAAGAAGGATCGAGTCCCTTAGGTATCTCATTCCATTACGTATAGGACTTTTGGGTTGAGAGAGTTAAGATATGAAAGAAAATCGTTTCCTGTATCTTCACCATCTTGTCATACCACAAACATGTCATCAACATAGCGCAGCCAACAATATAAAGATTTAATCCGGTTCTAAGCCTCCCCCCACCACTATGACGTCATTAATGGCTAATTAGTGACAAATGATGTGATTAGGGTGACCTTGAAAAATATGTCTGGTGCATATTTGTGACCTAGAACGATATGTCTGGTGCATATCTGAAAATGTATGGAATACTTTCTTTCAGACATTGGTTGTGTGCTACCTTAGGGGTGAATTTTCCCTTTATGTAAATGAAACTTTCAGCAATATCAAGTATAATATCTTGATTATTAATAACAATTCGAATTTCATCTGAATTCCTAAACAGTGGTGATCCATATGATTTATATGTGTGCTCATGTAAATTTATGAGGGAATGATCGAGCACTGGTTCATCAAATATATTCAAGTTTTCATTGTTTGTTTCGAGCACAATTATTTCCTCACTTTCAATCCAATCGATTCCGAGAATTTAAGATCTTTCACAGACAGAACCTGGTGTGTAGCATACATTTTCTAGTCGAGATTTCCTTTTTAGTTGTGTAATCGTTTTGGATATGTGGTTCTCGATGATTCTGTCTATTATAACGAAAACCCGTTATTGAAAGTTATTCGATTTTCTTCAGTCTCAAAACTATGAAAATCTCTTCGTCACTTTCAAAATCGACAAGATAATTATTTTGATCTAAAATATGCACGGTGATGCTGTGAATCAACTGACGACCTTCTAGACTGACAAGCATATATACAGGGTGTCCCATATAAAACTCCGCAGGCAAATATCTGAAAAATGAAGGGGAATATCCAGATTTTGTGAAGGCAGATGATTTTGATGTGAAATGGTCCTCTTATTTACGAAGAGATCCAGCAATAGGCTTAATCCATTAGGGCGTCGCGACACGACGCCAATTTTTTTAAGTAGTAACCTAGATTTTCGGAATCTAATTCTTTGGCAGAAATTAGCTTTTTGGAAAGATTGATAAAATGAAATGATACTTGCTTGATAATGTTTTGCACAAAAGTTGTAACCAAATTTTAAATTGAATGCATTAAAGTGAATGTTGGAAATATTCAATATTTCCAATAAAATTGACATATAACAATCTTTATTATTCATAGAAAAATATTAAGTATGGAAAGTTAATTTGCTATATTTTCAGACGAACGAAAGTCTATTTTTATTACCAACAATGTTTCATGTGAAAACTTTGACATTCATTCAAATATACTCATTGAAATTTAATTCCCAAACTTACTTTTAGAAAGTGAATTTAAAGTTTCATTATAATTCAACAGTCATATAAATAACTAACATTTTATTGAAAGGTCAAAATTATATGCGGAATTGAAACGTTTGTTGAATTTACTCGAATAATACATTCCATTGACTGTTGAATAAAAATGTTTGTTCATTGAGGAGTTCAACTATATGTATACAGATTATTTTTCAGCATAATATATAGTAAATTGGCGTTCCATTTTCAATACTGTGAAACAATATTTTTCTTCGGAGCCAATAAAAGTTTCAAGTTATTTCATTAGTCTTTTTTATTATTCATATAACAATTTTATTCATGTAACATTTTAAATCAAGTCTCATTTGAAATAACAAATTTTGCGAACAATCGTTTTTTATGTGTTCAAAAATTAAATTCTAACAAATAAATTGTTAGTTGAATAAATTGAGGAATGAATATTTGTGACAATAAAAAGTAATACGGTGTTCCATACAAAACACATTGGATTTGAATCGCTGGAGATCAAATTCATTTAGAAAAACGTTCTCACATAAACGCAGTTCTCCAGATGAAGGAGTTCGAGGTGTACTGAGTTGACCCTCAAAACGATGGGCAATTACAATTCATCGCGTATTTCTGATATGTACCGCTTTTGGTGGAATCAAATGTGTCAAGTCCCTTGAACACTTTCCGTGAAAGTATCTATAGAAGAGAGACAAATCTCCAACCTTTCTTCGATGTTCCATGCTATCAAGGTTACACGTGATGTTCGCGTCTCCGATCAGGCAGATGACTCTTTTCTGGATGGAATCTAGTAACTTCAGGGTTTGCTTGGGGACAGAGCTCCATACATGAGAACACTACTCCAAAGAAGGTCTGATCTGCGTTTTATGAAGTTGCTGAGGTGTGTACAGCTTTCTCTAAGGTCCGTTTGTTCGTTCATCTCACTGGAAATAGGTTGACAAGGGGCGAAGAGGGCGGTTATATCTGTGGTTATATACGTCGCTGATTATCCGTATCGTGTCCTTGATCGGAACCATCGTGTATAAAATGACCACGTCGGAGCTCACTAGTATGTCTCCAGGACCTAACTCCATATCTCTACTCTTTTTGATGAAGTATACCGAGCTCTCAATCTATTAAATCTGTTAAAAATATGTTTTCCCGTTAATCGTTACAGAGTCAATAAATGACTCTGTAGTTCCTATAAATGGCTGCAATAGGGTTGTCAAGTATTTGGCCAGCATTTACGATAGGTCTAATTGACACATTCTCTTTATGGATTACTTTTATTATTCCAAGCGAATTAACTTCTCTCGAGAAGAATCATAAACGTTGAATACATCAAAAACAAGAATCTTCATCTCAAGTATTCTCTTCCCATTCGCCGGATGCGCAATTATGCGGCTAGTTGCCTAATAAATTCCATTTCGTGTTCAGGTTAAAAGAACAATACAAATTGGAAATAATACCATCAAACGCTTATCTTGAACTCCACAAATTCGTGGGAACAAACAATTAAGCGTCACGCAGTGTTGGGCAAAAATCATTCGGGAAAATGAGCAATTAATTAGCAAAGAACTGCGACTCATAGTTTGGGCGTTCATTTTTGTGACAAAAACTATCGTAAAAAAGATTTATTGTTACGGACTTTCGATACGAGTTTGACGTTTATGACTTGTCGCATTAGTTTATGGGGTCAAGCTCAATTTCCATTTAATGTATAACGATTTAGACTCTTAGGACTGAACAGAAATGCACAGGAAATATAAAGTGCTAACGTTAATAGGCCTCCGTCAAATTTCTAAAGGAACTAGGGGTCAAGATCCGACAAAATATACATAAAAAGGCACAATTTTCAGTACTCTTCGTTAGGAAAGAAAGAACATAAATATATCTTCTTTCTGATATTAGATATTTCAATTATTTATCCGTAAATTGGAAATCAAATCAGCTGTTCTTGAATAACGAGCAGTTTTATCAATTTCATAAACAAACTAGAAATATCATAATTGGAGAAAAACTGTTATTAACAAAAAAAAAACATATTTATTGAAATCGCGAGTTTCGCTTTAAATTACCTTATTCGAGCGTGTTACATCAAACTGTTGAATACTTATTTTTATGGATTTTCAACTAGTGTCGACCATTTCCATCGCATACATTCTTTCTGTTATATATTTGCTTTCGTTTGAATGTTGGAAATTGTCATTCTCTTTAAAGATAAATTGTTAATTTTTTTTTTCTATTAGTGATTTTATAAACTAGACCTTCTACTTTTCATTGCTTTCAAATAATTCGGTAACAAAAATTCATTTTCTATGCGTGAAATTTCTTCTAAAAGATTATTTGAATATGTTGAACTTGTTCTTATTTACATAGCTCATATGACGTTTCTGGACTCGATCCCTAAATGTTCTGCCAGTTTGACCAATATATACCTTAGGACACGTTCCACACTTCAATTTATATACTCCTGATTATTCGAATTTGGACGTTTCCATGTTGAATGTATTTTTAGTTAGTTAAAAATAATGAAGACAAAACATCCAAATTCAATAAATCAGGAGTATATGAATTGAAGTGTGGAACGTGTCGTAAGGTATATACTGGTCAAACTGGCAAACTATTCAGGAATCGATTCCAGGAACATCATATGAGATATGTAAATAAAAAAACAACTACAACATATTCAAATCATCTTTTAGGAGAAAATCATATCTTTAACGGAGAGTTCGAAATTTGACACAAAAACACATAAAGAAAATAAAGGTTTGGAACTAAATTATTTGACAGTAATGGAAATGAACAAACTTGATAATTCAAACATTCTAATGAATGACCAATTTGATTTAAATAGATCACTATTATTGAACTTGTTTTCGTTAAAAACTGGAAAAGTATTATTATTGATGTAGAACTGGGGCAATATGCTTCAGGTAATCATAATTGAAGAGGTTAACTCAGGTATATAAGAGGGAGGTAGTCTCAATTGTAGTTACCAATTGTGAAAAATGGATTCTGACCATACCCTTTATTATTTTTTGTGGTTACAACGAAATGAGGAAAAACTCTTTTGAAAAGTTATAAATACCTAACTTAGTGCTATCTACGTGTGAATTAACGTAAGAGATGCTGAAATTGACCTCCACTCTCTACTTGGCAGGCTCCTAGGCGATGGTAAAACCCGTCTACGGAATTCCGAATGGCCTTGGCCGGTATGTTATGTGATTCCACTCAAATTCTGAATTTCAAATCTTCAATATTATCCGGCCTATTTTGATAAACCTTGTTTTTCATATATCGCCAATAAAAATAATCAAATAGCGTTAAGTCTGGGGATCTTGACGGCCATTCAATTGTACCACGTCGTCCAATCCAGCGTCCTGCAAATATGTCATCGAGATATTCTCTGACATTGATACCAAAATGTGGGGGAGCGCCGTCCTGTTGGAACCAAAGTGTTTCAGTGTGGATATCTGGATCTGCTTCATTAGGAAATATAACAGCTAAAGCAGGGACTAATTCAAAGCGTAAAAAGTCTAAGTAGCGTGCAGCTGTAAGGTTTCCCTCAAAAAAGTATGGCCCTAATATTCTGTTGCTGATGATGCCTGCCCATACATTCACTTTCTGAGGACGCTGCGTACGAGCTTCGCATATCCAGTGTGGGAATCGATAGTTGTGCCTGTTAACTACCTGTTAACTCCATGTAAATAAAAAGTAGCTTCATCCGAAAAGAGTATGTTGAGTGGAAACCCATTATTCTCGTCACATCGCCTCATTATTTCACCACAAAATTGCAAACGCCTGTCATAGTCATCTTCCAAGAGCTCTTGGACAAGACATACCTTATATGGGTGGTATTTTTCTGTTTTCAAAAACCTCCCAATCGTACGTCTATACGCAGGATTATTTTGGGCTAATGAAACCGTTGACAAATGTGGATCTTCCTGCAGAGATACGGCAATGTACAATTTTTGATCTTCGTCTAAAACATGTGGCCGGCCACTTCTGGGCAAGTCCTTCACTGTACCATGTTCTTCAAATTTGTGTAAGATCCTACTCACAGTAGCCTGGGAAATGTGATTTTCCGTATATTTTGCATTAAATAAAGTACACACCTCACTTTGACTCCGCATTCTATCCCTACATCCCAACAATATCAAGACTTCGATACGCTGCCTCTCTGACATTTTTGTTTAGCAAATTAAAAAAGAACACTTTGAAGGTACCCAATTAATAAAATATTCATACATATTTTCAATTTCACCCAGAAATGCCACATTTTTAAAACTGAGTCATGACAATAGTTCTTATCAGGGCATTCATTTTGGTACAAAAAATGCAACAACCTTTTTGACTTTTTGAGGTACACTGGTCAACAATTTCTTGGGATGGAACTAATTTTATGTGTGAGTTTTTGGTGAAAAAATTGAATCCACAAGATGTTGACGCTACATTACGTTTTCAGTTTTACACATAAATCAATAAAATTTGTTGTGGTGCCTGGCCCGGTTGGTCTGTTCTTAAAATTTGTAAACTTTTAGAGAGTAGGTACTGGTGATCCTTAGCAATTGTTGAGCAATGTACATCATCACCACTTATTTGTTTTTTGCAACGTTAATTCACCCGTAGATAGCACCAAGTAGGTATTTCTGACTTTTTTGGTTTCTAAAGAGTTTTTTCTCATTTCGTGGTAACCGCATTAGTAAAAAAAAAGGCTATGGTCAGATTCCTTTTTTTACGGGCTCTTCAATGAGCCCATACACGACATAAGTTTGCATTTGAGAAAAAAAGTTGGGGAGGGTTGCAGCTAAGGGTTTGAAAAAAAATATTTCATTTTATTGCCAAAAAATGCGTACAACGTGAAATCAACTGACGTGTTTTATTCTGGACTTTTGTGCACCTGTATAGATCTCTAACAGTTTCCGATTTTCTCATACTTGCGTCGTCTTCATCATGAACACAGAGTTCAACATACGTATGAATGGTTTGAGATACTCCTCCAAGAATAGTTACCTTCAGTGTTGTCTCAAACTGACCTTTCTCAAAATCCTCGATATTTTATCTCCGTGCTCCCAAGGTGTGACCCATCCTCCATTGACGTTACAATCAAGTGCTTTCGTGGTACTATTGTAGTTCAAACCTCGCCTCACATTGCTTCGAAAAATATCTGGCTTTTTTCTCATCACTTTGATAAAGGCTTCAACGAGAACTAACACTGCATCGTACATTAACGCCGCTTGAGCAGAAATGCTATCTCTTGCAGCTCCTGGTAATGCGGTCGGATCCAAACGTTTCCATCCTAGAATATAACCTTATTGTTTATCATATTTTTTAAATTACTACTAGTGAAAAAATTAACGCTTTTTTAGGGGACTTCACCTGTCACAATTTGGTTCAGTTAAAAGTTCAGTTTTCATGATGATATTTGAAACTGAAATTTTTGAAATGAATTGAATTGAATTGCCAAGTATACAGAAGACGCTCTCAACTCGTGCAATATAATTTCATTCAATCATTATCAGTTCAAATAATGTGTGACGTGTGAGGTTGAACTACTTTTTTTTAGTTACACCTCTACCGGATGGGGTATTCGCAAAAAGGTAAGAATCATTCTCAGTGACGGCCTCATCCTAAGGTCTATGACTCTGATTCCACTCAGTCACATAAACGGAACTTCCGAAACACCGGGTCATCTTTCGTGGTAGATAACTTTGTCACATCAATACGGGGTTCTGCTGTGATCGACTTTTATTTTCTAGATACTTGGAAATATAAAAAGTAATTCAACTCCAAGTCTACAGAGGAGATTAACGTTGACTGTATCACCTCAAATGTCCTCCCTGTAACATCGGGTCGAAAGCAAGCGCTTCTACTCAATACTGTTGACGAGCATAGGAGGCTAGATGGTGTAGCAAGCAAGCAATCAAGCAACTCATCGTCTTTTCGAAAGCAGAATATCCCATGAATCTGCCTTGCACCGAATTCTCGAGCAGCCAAAACGAAACCAGTGCCAGGAGAAGAAACAAACTTCCTCTGAACAGGTCAGTAAACGCTAATATATGCAAACTAGTTGCTATAAAGACCTGCAAGACTGAATCTGGTGTGTTGTCACATATGTCTTCATTTGGGAAGGTTGCTATGGTCATCGAGGTGAAAATCTTTCGCATCTTGAATATTCGACAACCTCAACATCGACCATTCAACTGAAACCTCTTCAATATGCTGTCATATAGGATATTACAAAATATTATCCACAAGTACAATTCAGCAGCTACAAACTCCAGCCACAGAACCTTCTGGGAGATTTGGAGGAGCATCTCCTAGATGGCGGATGTTGTAAGTACCTTGGAGCCATGAGAGGGCACCCCCATGGAATGCGTCACAAAAGACCTACTTTCAAAAGTAATTTGTATCGCTCAACTACCTAAGAATGAAGAAAATGTACTTTGGTGTGTCAACCATAGGTCGGACTATTTTTGACAGGAAAATTCAGGCTCTGGTAACGGAGTACAAAACTGTATCGGCCCCACCTCACAGATTTACAGCGTTTGGCAGAGTCTTATTCTTGGTAGCTGACCTCAAAGATCATCAACCTAGTAGAGTAATGGTTGCCGTTGGGAAGATTGGTTTATTTGGTCGAGTTTGAACAGCGTTGAACCGCAAAAATCTCTTGCAAGCTGCCGTGGAGTGGCAACTCATTTTGGATCTACCTACTTGAATTATTTTTATCTTTTATTTCTAGAATAACTCTATACTGTCTCATGACATCAGCAGTCGACTCAACTGAAATGAAAAATTCCAGTTTCTGCAGTAAAGTGGATGTAGAAATGCCAATTAAACGAATGTTCTGAAATTAGGCCTTTCGAAATCTTGTCATCGATTTACATTCCATTATCTTTTTTTTATCGGAAACTGCTTATATTTTTGGTAGTAATATTGATTTGATAGAATATTTTTCAATTATTTTTGCAATGAATGAATGATCTATGCCGAGTTTACCTTCAAGAAAATCCTTGACTATTGGTTTTGAGTTGTCCACTATTCGAAATCCTGTGATGTTCATTGCTCCATATTCAACTATTTCACTTTCCCATCTCTCATCCATCACCTGTAAAACGAATGAGACATTTTTGAAATTGGTAATTCATAAGAAATTCTTGATATTCATCAGCAAATATATTTGAAATGTATGAATACTCTGTTGTATCGTTTGAACAAATATGAATGCTGTTTTCCGTTACTTTTCATTCATAGATTTTCATCACGCCAACTTTGGGGAAAATAAAGATCGAGTAGCGACACGAATAGAAAGTTCAATGTAATATAAATTTCAGTAAATCATCGAATTGGCATTAGGTCGAATTTAATAACGATATGCAAAACGTGTAATTTCCTGACTAACTATATTCCCTCAGCAGAATTTCTATCAAGTGAAAAATCAAGATAAAAACCAATCATCTTGATGATAATTTGAACTGAGAATATGTAATTTCAGGTCCATTCTTGTATGCTATCTGCACTATGTAGTTTCAATTTTTTAAAGGCAATTCAACACATTTACTAATCAAATTCCCATGCAACAAACGAACGAATATATTGACACTTAGTTACTTTTGTGTTAGGTCTTCTGAATAAATGTAAACTAGGAGAATCTTGTAGATTGAGTTAGTAATCAGGCACCTCACTGGATACATGTTATCCAAGTATCTAATAATAACAGGGTAGAAGGTTAAGTGGTAGAGCAGGATCTCACTAGGTTTCACGTAATGGACTACTGAACTTTGCCTTTTAGGTCAGCCATTATGTGTAAATGAATGCAAAACTCATTTGTTTCATTTTACATGCTGTTGTGCTGAAGAAATATTATTATTATTATATGAATTATTTATGGACTTGGGTTTTTTCACCCTATACAATATGAGAATTTTAATGTGAAACTTTATACCTACAGCTGTAGAAAGGGCAAACTTCTCAATTCACAAATTTTGAGTGTCAAAAAAAAAGAAATTATACAGATAGATACTTCAATATTTTGAAAGCTAAAATATACCTCCATCTTCAGAACTAATGAATCGTCAGAGATTTTTCTCAAGTTCTTCCTCAGATAGGTGTCAAGAAATATATCGAGGACGTTTGAAAATGAAACGAACTGGGACAAATCTGCAAAATTAATTTCATTTCTATCAATTTTAAAGACGGTGACAGATTAAGCATCTAAAAGTTTAAGATAATTATTTGTATAATTTCTTAGCTTTTTCATAAACAGAAATATTGAATAGAACAGACAAGTTATAGTCCGTTCATAATTTGTTGATAGCTCACTGCAAGTTTGACCCTCATTAGAGAACTGAAATACAGAGAGGACAGCTAATATGATATAATAATAAAAACCAAACTAAAACTGGCAGTTTAAGATGTTTTCGACTAACCCACCTTGTATCTGAAGAAATACAATACAGCTATAAAACTTTTAATCCGATTATGTAGGTATTTTGAGTGGAAATAAGTGACCAGTGTCGTAGGGTATATGATTTGAACATTAGTTACTTTAAATAAATAAATATATTAATATTCTTAAACTGTAGGTACTGTAAACTGTATTTTTATTTTTAAAAAATTTCTTTATTCTATTCAAAAATAATAAGTTACTTGCAATTTGTAAAAGATACATTTATTTAATTAATACCTATTTTTAAATGATATAAACTACGATTACTTACAAAACTATTCAAATTCAAAATAAACAGGATCATCTTCGGAATCCGAGTCGTCTTGCAGGTTAATAATTAGCGGTTGTGTCTCTACAGTCGCATCAATTATATTGTCAAGATCCCACATTTTTTGTTCTTCTTCTATTGCATGTCTTACAGCATCTCGCCAATTTTGTTCTGTAATATGTTGTAAAGACTCATATAACAATTCACGTACAGCTTGTATTTTATATGACGTATTTTTTCTAGCCACATAGCTTTTCATTTGTGCCCAAATGAGTTCAATTGGATTTAATTCGCAGTGGTAGGGTGGAAGTCTAAGAACTGTGATGTTTCGTCTTTCCGCCATTTTGTCAACTACGTATTTCTTGAACTTAGATTTGTGTTGCCGGGCAATTTTTGAAAGTTCTGCTTTAACCATTCCATCTTCGTAAGGCAGGGACTTATTCCGCAGCCAGTCAATGATATCCTGTTTCTTCCACGCAGTCGTTGGAAGTCTTTCAACTAGTCGTGAATGATAAGGTGCATTATCTGATACTATAATTGAGTTTGGTGGTATATGTTCAATCATCTGCTCAAAGTACTCTTCGAAAACATCAGCTGTCATCTCCTCGTGATAGTCTTTTGTGCTTTTGGATTCAAATTCCAACAAACCATGCTTAGCAAATCCTTTTTCACTGCAAATGTGAGAAACTATTAATCTACTGCCTTAACCAGAGGGTGGGGAAATACCAGTAGACCAACCTTCCATAAAGGCTCGCCTGGAGCTTGATATACTTTTATCTGTCCAAATTTTTGTGAGAGTATGACCTGCGTTTACCCACGTTTCGTCCTGATAGTAAATTGGCCTTCCTTCAGCCCGAAATTTTCGTATAGATCTTAGATACTTTCTTCTCCAACATATTATCTCTTCCCGGTCAATCAAAAGTGATTTTCGGTCTGATTTCTCCCACCGGAAATTTAATTCTTTTAAAACTTGCCACAATTTGGTTCGTCCGACATGAGGCAAATCCGGGTCGTCTCTAACTTCTTGTAAAATTTTGTTTAAGTTGGGTATTTCTTTTTTGTAAAAAATTCGTGAATTTTCCTTCGAATACCATTTTTGGCAAATTCATCAATTTCAATAGGTTTTCTCCCCCTCTTTAAGTATTCGTTTGTATTTGGGTTAGCTATACCTTTATTTGTTTCTTTCTGATAGGAACCTATATATTGTTGACTCCCCTACGCCCGTCATGTTGGCACAACTCTTGATTATGTTCTGAACAGTGTTTGTGGGATTCTGAGAAACCAGAGCATCGTAAACGTTCAAAACAATAGTCTTCTCTCTTGGTGAATAGACAGACTTACTGACTGTACGCAACAGTACCGGTGTAAAACTTGATGATGTTGATGATGATGACGAAGCCATCGCAAGCAATCAAACAAAACAAGCAGGAACGAAAGGTACGTATATGTTTGTAGGAATATGAAAAAAAGTTACTCACGCACTGCACAAAATTCGCAAAATAAATATTAGAGACGTTAATTAGTGCCGTAGACGCCGAAACACCAACGAGCCGTAAATTAAATGCGATTAAAAAATGTACTAAACCAAAAATTATTTTCGTTCGTAACAACTTCACCCTTTCAAGGCAAGTTTCGAATATAAACTGAAGCTTTATATTTAATAAATAAACACCTCAGGAACCTCCGCCTATGATTTTACGAGTTTTACGACCGTTTTATGACTTGGGCCCTCATTTTGTGCTATCGACAAATTATGAACGGACTATAGTGTTGAATAAAACAATTTTCTTGTGGAAAAGCATTCAGAGCTTTCTGATTGAATAAAATTAATCGATGATCACCACACTACACTACAGCTTTCCTTTGTTGAATTATCACGAAATAAATCTTTTTATTTTGTATTTCAAATCTCCCTTTTCGAAATCTAGTGAAGTCACAAAAATTCTCTGAGCATCAACAAAAAAAGAAATTGGTCAAAGTGAAGCTTTTCGTGACGGTAGCTGAAGGTCATATCTAGGACATTGTCAAATGTCAAACCCAAATACACTTATGGTCATATAATGTGCACATAGTTCAAGGTCGTGTGAAGTCATTGAAGTTCAAAGTCAGGTGGAGGGGGATACCGGAAACAGGCATCACCTCACCTCTTGTCTACAGAAATCACTTCGACTAAACAACAATGATATTGTTGAACAAAATGATTTCCACTATAGGCTTCTTCAGTATGACCACCGATGGAACAAGTGATCACCAATAATAAACTAGGCGGGGGAAATAAGAGGAGCAATAAGAACTACTCCAATAGTATTTACGCAATCACTTCTCGGAGTGAACTGGAAAGTATGATCTTTCTAGTATAAAATTCCCCATTACAATTTTTTATATTTTTCAAATTGTTGAAGGTGAAAAAATAGCAGGTCATTGATTTTCATTCTCTTTTCTCCTGCGGACCGAACAAAAAGCAGTATAGCAGTTGAATTGTGTTTCATATAAAAACTTCGTTTACATTTTATATTTGAAAAATTTATTCCACAATACTTTCCTGAATATTTCAGTAACACGCGAAAGTAACTGTCAACTTTATTGGATGCGACTTGGGCCTTCATAAAGTACTGTACATTCACTTCCTTTTAGAAGGAGTCAAAAGTAACTCTCAAAAAAGTTTGTATTCTTGCAATATTTCCATAGTCGTTAAAATAGCCGGTTGTTATTTCCGTATATCACGCAATGCACAATATAATCGAGAAGGCAGTGGTGTAGTGAATGAGGAAATTGGATTACTCAAATATACAGTGTGTAAAAGCCAAATGCATTAAATTCATTATTTTGGTTACCGTACAACATAATAAAAAAAAATCCCGAATCAGGTCGAATGTTAATTATAAATTGACATTCTTCAACGTGAAAATGTTACCCCTACCTTCAATCCCCTTCGAATGACAGGTACAACCCTCAATTTTTCAAAAGGGAAGTATAGATTTGTGATACATCGTTTGAAGTTTCTTCATTCTCTATTCAAAAATGTTACCGCTTTCAAATTGCAACAATTGAGATGAAATAAATTAGAATCATGTGGTTACCGAAATTCGATGGAGTACACTCAAAAACTAAAATGTAATGCAGAACGTGATGAAATGTAGAATACGAAAAAGAACTATGGATGTTAACGGAGTAGATGTTGAAAATTTTCACCGCGAACATCTTGGCAACATCCTAATCCTAATCTCGAATAAAACTGTCTTCTGACCGACCAAATCGCATGCGTTATTCGTTTTCAAGTAATTCGAAGAACCTTCCCTGAGTTTTCGCAGAACCTAGTTGAGTTTGTCATATGCTGCCGCAGTTGCATCTATGAAAAACATTCCCACTTACAGGAATACAATAACAAATC